TTAAATTTTATTATCTTTTGTAAAATTTGTTTTACAGTTTCTTCAAAAATTTTTTATTTATATGTTCCTATTTTTTCAATTTTTCAGCAAATTACTTTTACTTTAAAATTTCAAAACCGTAAAAACTTATAGTAGCGGGCCTCCAAAACAGTCTAGAATTGTTAAGCGCAGCGTAACTTGAATTAAAATGGGCTCTTAAAATTATTAAGGTTAGCAAAAACAAAGACTAAATGTTTTTTTTTTTTTCAGCAAAATAAATTTTTCCAGACAAAAAGTTATACGACAAACCACAATTTTCTTATAAAAACCTTACAACTGTGTCAGCTAACAGCAAATAGTTTTGAAAGACCTCAGAAGTGACATCAAGCAGCGAAAAAAAGCTGAGAAAACCAAAAACGACCAAAAACAAACGACATAGTCAGATTTAAAGACAAGATTTAATAGGTGCCAAGAACCTATCAGAAAACAAGTTCATTTTTGGATATCTTATGTATCAATTTTATTCTAAAAATTAACAATTTAATGATTCTTTGTCACTAATTATTGTTGTTGTAAATAATTGCATTCAAGTGGTTTGTAATTGCAGCACAACAATTGCAACAGAACACAAATTAATTTTCCATATTCCCTTAGCTTATTAAAAATTTCTTACTTGTAATTAATTTGCTCAAACGTGGTAAATAAACAGTATGTAAAAAACATTTAGCTTTATGCAGTCACTCTAATTTGCCTTGTTCTATACTCTACTCCATAGCACTTTCTTTTTGAAATTTTTTGATGGTTTCTTTATTATATGACTGCGTTACAAACTTTTTGCGCAATTATTATAGATGTTACGGTGTTGTAATGAATATATATTAAGAGTTTAAACATTTAACCTTGTGTTCAAAAACCTAGTAAAAACTTGTCGAACGCAACAGGCTTTCCCAACATTTGCACATTTACGACATCACCAAGCATATTAGAAAAAATTTTTGAACCACGATCATTGTGACACTTTTTTTTTTGCTGAAATTCACGACACTCAATCAGAGAACATGACATTTCCTAGCTACAAAAGATTTTTGTTTTTTTCCTTTTGGCAGTTTCTTGAGATACATGCTAATGTGGAGTAAATTATTTGCTTCATTAATCGGCGGTAAAAAGAAGTATGCTAACACTGAAACATATTATGAGTTTGGACTTTACTGGAACTATTTTCTGCACGAAAGAAGCAGCAACACGCTCTAATGCGCCAAAAAACTACATTTAAGCATTATTCGTCTGTTATAACATTAATTCGAAAACTGACTGATTTGGTCGCATTCAACGCTTTTTCAAAATAAACTACTTGCTAAATGTGATGTTTTTAAAAGTTTCATAATGTCGATTAAGCTTTTTTCTACAATTCTTTTTCTGCAACACCACAGTTATCAGCAATAATAAACAAACTTTTTCAATCATTGAGTTGAAAAAGAAAAGAAAACAGCGATAAAACACTGTAGAATTTCTGCAGATAAAAGATTTGAAAACTATCTTCGACAATCGGGAATCGAAAAATGTTTCTTTAGAAAATCTTATTTAGAGTAATTTCTTTGTTCTTAGTGCTAATTATCAAAATTATTCAAAGCAATTTTGAAATGCAGTAGAGAAGAAAACAGGTCGCGTCTTGTTCTACAACAACTTTGATAAGAAAAATATAGGGTGAAAAGAAATCACCATAAAAAAATGCAGATTGCTTAGAAAATTGTCCTGCAGGCATTACTTTATTTTTCAGCTGGCTATTTCGGCTTATAAATACTCAAGTGAATAAATATTCTAGCATCAAGTGTGCGTTTTGACATTTTAGAATTCTCTAGTTTTTTACCTGAGAAATGTTGTTTCCAAAAAAAAAAAAAGAATATAGTGTACTGTCCCTAATAGAACGAAAATTCTTCAATAAAATTTTAACTGCTTATATTTGATACAAGAAATTTAAACACAGCTGCACTTACCAATTCCTCATATTCTTCTTTGGTATTTAGTAGAGCTTGGTAATTGCACATAGTTTGCCTATGTGTTTCCTCCTCGCGATTTAGATTTTCTAATAATTCATCAATCTGAAGTCAACACTGTTCTAGACGTACCAAAGTTTTTTCTCTAGAAGTTTCGTCAAATTGCAAAGATACAAAATGTATCTTTTTCAAATCTCAACAAATAAAATACCTTAAAATCTTACCAAAGCCTGGTTTTGGAAACTCTCCGTGTGCAGATCATCAAAATTTTCTTTGGATGTCCCATCTCGGTTATATTTTGCACCTGGTGCAGCCTAACGTAAAAAAAAGTGATTTAAGCAGGTAACAAGGCACAATTATTAGATCTATCTGCAGGTTTGTTGTGGTGCAAAAGAAAATAAAACCCTCAAAAATCTTTTTTGTCAGTATTTTTCAGTTTGTTACTAGATATAAATTTTACAAAATGAACCGTGTAAAAGCTTAATGTCGACCTGTTCAGTTTTGTTTTCGTTGTCTCGTTCGTTGCTATTCTGTTCATCTTCGACGATAAAAAAAAGCTTCCGGATTATGTTTCTATTATCAAAAACCGCTCTGCAGTTTGGGCAAGTGTCTTTTTTTGTCTAAACTTCAAAGTAAACAACAAATTATGATTTATTTAACAAAGCAAAATTTGAGCTGTTTTTAACTTGACATTCTTTGAGAAGCAATAAAATTTTGTGCAGTAAGATAGGCTAAGTTTGAAGCAGCAAGTTAATAAAGCACGAAATTTTATCATAAACAGAATTAGAGTGGAAGAATCTAGAAAAGCTAAACAATAATAATTTTATTAAATAGCTTGAAAGCTTACCTGCAACCATCCGTTCACGCAAACCCAGTGATATGTATGGCCACATGGAAGCGCAGCTATGTCTTTTGCATCTTCGGTTTTGAGATCGGAAGTGCAAATCGCACACTCGCCCTCAATAGGCGCCATACAATTATTATTACAAAAGCAGTCAAATTTAAAAGCAGGAGCACTTTATAAGTATCTTTTTCTAAAAATCAGAATGCAGTGAGTGAACCAAATGCTACACTCGCAATAACGCACTTCCACACGTAGATGGCAGCTGATAAGCAAAAAGTTTGTATTTGATGTTATATTAGAAATATCAGTGTCATTGTAATGTTTCACACGACAGCGTAAGAGTGTAAAAATTTCTTCATTTTTACTGTTTTTTTTTGGTTTAATGCCATTACAAAGACGCTGGATTCTACATGAGATGTTTTGAACAATGCGAAATCTTCAACAATCATGTGACACTTCCAAACGCGAAAAAACCTTGACAAACAGTTGCTTAGTTGAATTCGATCGACATCAAAGAAATCTTTTTCCGTAATCTGTTTCCGACTTATTTTTACTTTAATTACTTCACGTTTTCGTTAAATTTTTCCATCTTTTATCAGCTACTCTTTATCAACATTTGCTGCTTGAAAAATCTTTTGACAACGTTGGAAGTCACATTTCTACGTACTACTGAAAAGTTGTATCTGAAAAACTACCAATTTATTTCAGACTAGCTGGAACAGGCTGATGTTTATAACAAATACAATTGGTGAAGACCAAGGTTTATTAACATTACCAAATAAGATTTTTCTTACTGTTTGAGAGTTTCAGATTCAGTAGTTTTAAAAGACATTATCAACTTGGTTGTCGTTTACCTGTAGACTGCCTGTCTCAGAAAGTGATCAAGTTTTTAAAATTAGATTTCAGAATAATTAGCGCGATTGCAAACTTAATTCGTAGAAGATATATATTTACTGTACTAAGTTACCAATTAGTGGTACACTGCAGTAGTCTGAAGAATAAGTGTATTAAAGAATGCTTTCTTTCTTTGCTTGCAGTAAACTGTGGTTATATTTATATGTATGTAATTATATGTGAGGTCTATGTATATATGCTGTTTTTTCGCAAACTTGAAAAAGCGATAAAATGTTTACTTCACTAGAGAAAAAATTAGAGCAAAAGTGAACCATTAAAACGCTGTATCTAAGAAAATTTTCTAGCACTTTGAAAGCGATAAATTTTTAGACGTAATTTTTAGGCAGCATAAGATATTAAAACTGCAAGGTGTTCTATAATGGTGTTATGAGCTACTATGCGATTAGTGAGATCATGCTGCGACAAACCTGCGGCTGACACAGCGTTTTAGCGCTTCCTCCCCTCTCCTCCCTCCTCCCCTCCCGTGAGCGAAAGACTTTCTGCTTCAACTGAAATATTATCGGGTATAATAATATACATAAAGTGCTAAAATAACTGTAACTTCAGTAATGTAGTATAAACAGTTTGATCAAAGATTTTCTTGTTTTTCTGCAATTCACAAGAAATTTTCAAAAGAAATTTTTTACAATAAATACTTTTTCAATTTGTTTTGCTTTGCTCACTTCTTGAACTCTTTTTGATTTAAATATATGAAATTTAAAATTGAGTATTGACAAGGAATACTGTTCTGGTGTTAACTTCTAATTGCTTTGAATTATAGTGCAATAAAATTTTTGTTCACTTGCACTGATAAGCCTGTTTAAAAACGGGGTGCTAGAAGTCTTTTCTTTATACCTCTCTTTAACCGGGAAGAAAACTACTTATATTAAAATCAATTTAAAGTTTTGCTTGAAAGTATCTCTTGCGACCTAGCTGCTGCTGCCAATCTTTTTAGCGTGCCTCGTATGCCACGTTGTTTCATATGACGTTGTCAAAGAAGTGTCATTACGTTGCCACGCTAGAGTCTGCAAAGTAGAAATGGAGATTTACAAAGTTTTTTTGACTTCTGTAATGTGACACACTTTATTTAGAAAAGAAGACAATTTTTGCTATATTGTGCTTTCGCTTTAGGAAGTTTAACATTTAGCGATGAAATAAGTGTATAGTTACCGTATTACAACTGAGGCGGTTCAATACCACAAAGATGATGTACAAAATAGTAAATGTTGCACAGTCTTCTTTCGAATTTACTGCAGTAAGGCGCGTCTTGATTTTCACTTTTTTTCTACGAAACGTTCTTTGACAGCGCTTTGAACTACCAATGCGGAGTTTTTACAAAAGTCGCAAATTGCTGCACAGCAGAAAGACTAATAGCAAAAAATATACGTTTTTACCTGCAAATGCAAAGTTTAATATATCAGAGTCAAATGACTTTGATAAGAAGGCAAAGTAGGATAAGTGAAAAAATAATCATAATTCTAATTTTTGTCGATGAAACTTTTGAAAATATTTTATAATTGAATGATTTTCAATTAGTTACGTGCTATTAAAGCGGTAGAGTTAGAGAACTTTATCAGTAAGTTATACGTGTGATTATGCTTCGTAACATTATAGTAAAAATTAGGTCGTTGTCACTTGCGCATGCAATAAAATTGTGAACAAATTGAAGACTTTTTGCAATCTAGCTGTGGTAATCACATCGAACTCATAATACCATAAAAATACTGCCCGTCAATTCTGATATGTTACAGAACAATTACGCTTTCAAATCATATATTTTTTAAAGAGATTTCAAATGCCTTTTTCAAAAATAAAACTTTAATTTTTCGTCTTCACTTTACATTGATAGAAAATCTGCTGGTAAAATTACTTTAGTTCCGACCTGAACTTACACGGAACAGGCTTTCGAACAAGTAAGAAGCTATAAATGCTTGTCGTTAATGAACAAAACTAAAAGTTCTTAAATAAAACCATTTTTAGCAGGAACCGTATCTTTTTTTTAAATTTAGAAAGGTTTAACTTCGTTGTCAATGTGATTTTACAGGCAAGCTGTCTTGATTTTACAACCTTGTGTCAAATGTTCAAAGTTGGCAAAGAATGAAGGAAATCTGAGGGGTTGAGCAAAAAAGTTTGCGACCTGACAGGGGTACCAAAAGG